TCTTAGATGGTATTCATAACTTTTTCTCAGCCAAATGATAGTGTTTTTTGTGTGTATATAATGCTGGGAATTGAACCTGGGGCCTTATGCACACTAGACAAGTACTCTACCACTGAGCTATATCCCCAGCCCAATTTTTTTAATTTAATATTATTTACTATGTGTGAAAGAGTATGTGGTATGTATGTAATGGATGCTATGGCGTGCATGTGGGGACCAGAAGACATCTACCTTTAATTGGATTTGGGGGATCAAATTCAGACCATCAGGCTTTTACAAGTGCTTTTTTCTGCTGAGCCCTCTAGCTGGTTCTCAGAAATGTAAAGAATTCAGATTTCATCATTTCTTTTAGTAAGATATTACTTAATCTGGGGCACACTTTCTTTGGATTTTCATACTGGAACACGTAGGGAGCCCACATCAGCACACCTGTAAAGAGGAAGCAGGTTTAGTGGCTAGCTGGGATCCTCCGGAAATGATGTGTGCTAAGAGGAAAACAAGGGTAGAAGGTCATCAGCACTTCCTATTTCTGTATAAAATAATCAACAGGCTGAAGTGAAGCCACAGCCTGGTTGGCTGGACAGGTCCGGACGCCTTTCTAAAGCGTGTGTGTCTTGCAGTGCAGTGCGCCCTAAACCGCCCCGCCTTCTTTGCTGAGCGACTCTACTACTCCATGAAAGGTGCTGGCACAGATGACTCCACTCTGGTCAGGATTGTGGTCACTCGAAGTGAGGTGAGACAAGGCAACACTTTAAATGTCAGATTGTACTTGATTTTTGAATGGTGATTTCTTCATTTTTTTCTTGATTATGAACCCCTTAGGAATGATGTGCCCTCCATGCGAGACAGGTTTTCAGACAGCACAAAAGCTTTCCTACTTGAAAAGGCCTGTGGAGAATATAGGTTTATGGGAAATTTCGAAGTCAGTCATTCTCTCTCTCTTCTGTCTCCTCTCTCCTCTATCCCTCTCTGTCTCTCTTCCCTATTAAATTTCTGAGGAGACTGGGGTCTTGTTAGGTTGTCCATGCCGGCCAACCCTACAGACATGCATTATTGTTTCTGGCTTGCTCATTTATTGACTGATTTTTGCAGTGCTGGGACTCAGACCCAGGTACTTACGCACGCTAAGCAGTTACTCTGCCATTGAGCTAAGCTCAGGTTCCAGTTTTTTCTTTTACTTGATCATGTAAGAAGTAAAAATACCTATGTAGATTAATCTTTTTGAATATCAATGTTATTACCCTTGTTAATTATAAAATAATCTTTAAATTCATCAGTTTTTATTTTATATAAATATAGGCTTTATAGAACTCATCATGATTGCATAATATGTCTGAAGTTTCATTTTAAGGCTGAATAACAACTGACTGTATTTGTATATGACTAATATTTGTTTGTTTGTGCATACTTGGCTTATTTCTACCTTTTGTGTTTTGTGAGTGGAGCTGCTATAAGCATGGCGTACACTAATCCCTTCAAGTCCCTGATACTTCATTTGGGAATTTAGAAAGAAATGGAGTTGCTGGATGACAGTGTAATTCTGTAGATCCTTTTTGCAAATCACCATACTGCTTTCCACAACTACTACCCCATGTTACATTCCCACCAGGAATGTGCAGTGTTACCATTTATTGGCATCCTTTACTACCACTTAGTATATTATACATTTCTTTAAAGCTATCCTATTATCAAATAGCATATATTTTAAAATGACTAGTATCTGGGAATAACAGCTGAAACTGGTACCATGTCTATCCAGTGTTTTCCAAAGCAGCAAATGAGATCTTTGCTGATGGTGTAGGCACAGGTGGCCTCAGCACTAGTGTAATGGATAGTTCTTTAGTGTTGGTCATTTGGTGTTTACCCTTCCCCATTCCGATTGTTATGGTATTATTATACAAATGCATTTTCCTTTAACAGATTTGTTTCTGACCTACCGTTTCTTACAGATTGACCTTGTTCAGATAAAGCAGATGTTCACCCAGATGTATCAGAAGACCCTGAGCACAATGATTGCTAGTGATACCAGTGGAGACTACAGAAAGCTGCTTCTGGCCATCGTTGGCCAGTGAGAGGAGGGATCTTTGTTTTGTTTTGTTTTGTTTTCTTTAACAAATGAAGCTCTTCAGAGCCCTTGCAAGCAACAAGATCTGCATGCAGCAATGTCAACACCACCTAACCAGAATAGCTTTTTACTAAGGACTATGTCAGGGTAATGTGCTTGGTTTGCACATGTTGTTACTGCCTTAATTCTAATGTTATTCTTTTTTCTTTCTGTATCCAGTCAATGTAAAAACCATATCAATGATGTAGTAATTTTGCACCATTTGTAAAGCTTCATTCTCACTGCTTTTATTTTAATCAGGACTTCAAATTGAATAAAAATCACGACAATCTCTAATTCTGTGTAATGTTGAAATTTTTTTGAAGGTCCATTACCTGTATTTCAAAAACTGAGAGAATCAGAATGGTATGTTTTAAAACTGATGCTGGTCTGGTTTGATTTCAGAACATAATTTTCAGTTCAGGAACACTGAAAGACCCCCGCCCTTAGCTTTCTCTTTTAAGTTTTCCCGCATGCAGCTGGCGAATACATCCTCCCCTGCACCCCCTGACCCTTGATCCCCACAGCTGCCGGCACTTCCCTGCCGCCGCGCAAGGCCGGCCCCGGCCCCCGCCGGACCGCTCCGTCCCAAGGTCTCCGCCCCCAAGGTCAGCCACCTGTGGGCGCGGAGGGAGGAATCAAGTCTGTTGTACCAGACACCAGACCTTGAGAATATGCTGATCTGGAATGGCTCTGTGCCTCATTTGAACCATCAAATAGAATCCCTGCTCCTAGCTTGCGCCTTTTTTCCTATATAAGGACGCCTTTCCCTTGGCTCGGCGCGCTTGGGCTCAGAAAAGCTAAGTCGCCCCGGGTACCCGCGTCTCCAATAAAGCCTCTTGTTTTTTTGCATCCAGTTCGTGGCCTCGCTGATTCCTGGGTGTGTGGGTCTCCCTCTACGAAAGTATCCCTTCGGGGTCTTTCAACACAAGTGCTTAGAAGCCACAGTAACTCCCATCCAATGGCTGAAGTTCCCTGGTACAGAGGGAGTGAGACTCAGCTAGTAGTAATATGGGGTTTAAAAGCCACTTGATAATTCACTTAGGTAAGACAGTTTATCCAAGAAAGCTCTTAACTCTGGAGATTTTGGAAATCTCACTGGTGTTCTCAAGACTCCTTTTCCATCCCAAGGCCAGCTGTTCGGAATGATTCCCACTGCATGGGAGGAGTGCCTTGTTGAACACCACACCGACCGAGCTGACAGGGGTGCCCTTCAAAGACTGGCTTCGAAGCTTCTGAGACCCCAGATGTTACAATATTTTGGTAGCCAGGATGCTCCCGAGGCTAACAGAAGCTTAACTGAAGCACAGGAAAGTTGTCTCCCCCTCCACAGCCCACTCACATTTGTCTGTTTTGAGACGGTATTATTATTGGAGCCTGGGCTGGCCTGGAACTTGCTGTAGAGAGTAGGCTGGCCTCAAAACTCATAGCTCTGGTCATGTCTGCCTCCCTCTTGTTGGGTTTGAAGGTGTGCATCACCACAACCTGCTCATCTACATTGTTGTAAATGGTAGGTAGGATTTCCTCTCTTTTAAAGCTGAATAGTTCATCGTGTGTTTACATATCACAATTTCGTGTGTGTGTGTGTGTGTGTGTGTGTGTGTGTGTGTGTGTGTGTGTACGTATACATTCATGTGAATGTTGTGTATACCACGACATGTAGAAGTCAGGGGACAACCTTATTTTAAGACAGTCCCTTTTATTAACTGCTGTGTGCTTCCTGTTTGATTTGATCACGAGAGAGTCTTCATCTCCACTTCCCATCTGGCCATAGTAGCACTGGATTATGGACATGGGGAAAGAAAGGGACAGGAGGGCAGGGCAGCATAGTGCAGGGCAGCTTCGCTTACTGTGACCCGTGGTAGTCTTTGGCTCCCGAGTGACAGAATCCCCATCCCATCCCACCTGCCACAATGCTTATAGGCCCATTTTTATCTGAACTCTAACTGGAACATAGATCCTCACAGTTGTATAGCAAGCACTTGAGTCATTATTGTCCTGCAAGTAAGTCTTAATAAACAAATTGCTTCACCAAGCTAGACACAGTAGACTTGAGCGTTCTTTTCCTCTATGGATTTTCTTGGCACTCTTGTTCAAAATCTGTTGATCATAACTGTTAAGTCCATATTTCTCAATTCTTTGCCTTGTACTATCTGTTACTGTTTTTGTTTTGAGACAGGGTTTCTCTATGTAGCTCTGGCTGTCCTGGGACTCACTCTGTACATCTGCCTGCCTCTACCTCCCGAGTGCTGAGATTAAAGGTGTGTGCACTACCACTGCCAGCGCTCTTAACTGCTGAATCATCTCCCTAGATCCGTGAGTCAGCATTTAGGATACAGATACTTTCAGAAAAGACCTAAATTATTAGTTTACTTTTGAAGGGAAGACGACTTTTATATTGTCCAGGCTAGCCTCCAACTCAAGCAATCCTGCCTCAGCCTCCCAGTTAGGCGCTCCTATGGTAAGAGCCAGGGCATTCTGCTAAAAAGACATGTGTTCAGCATTTGTTTAGTAAAGGCTTTTTTCTTTTCTTACTGGTTCTTGTTTGGTTTTTTACCTAGTCTCACCAAGCTTTTTTAGTTTTATCGGGTGTGTGTGTGTTTTAAAATCAAGAGTCGAGAAAACAAAGCGGAAAGCTATGTGTGTGTGTGTGTGTGTGTGTGTGTGTGTGTGTGTGTTGAAATCAAGAGTCGAGAAAACAAAATTAAGCGGAAAACTACACTTTTACCCAAACTTGAAAAGAGAAACCGCATCCAAGGGGCGTGGTTTCCAGAACACAAGCATGGCCTCGGCATCCACGAGACTGGAAAAACAAGTTCTCGCGAGAGGTAGCCGGTTGCTATAGTTACTGAAAACATAACCTGTTTCTGTCTCAGGTAAGATAGTTTACTCCCTTTCAGAGGCCATAGGTAAAGCTGTTACTGCACACCCCAGATCTCTTCCAGGCTTCCCCACTCTTCCCTTTCCCCAGCTTCCCCGCCCAGCCCTGCTGGGCCCGCGTTCCCGCCTCACCCGGAGCCCAGTCACAGCTCGCGGTGCCGCTGCTTCTGTGCGCGTGACGTGAAACCCGCGCTTGCTGAGTGCAAGAGCTAGGGTTGGGCATTTGTCCAAGGTCACAGTTAATCAGTAGCAAACGTGTTAAATCTCCACTCTCGGACCGCGGACCTAATTGAGCGAAGTGCTTGCACAGCGTGGGTGAGCCTCTGTTGTGCCTAGCTAGCACCCAGAGGAAAACAACAAAACCCCGCCCTCACAAACAAAGCAGATGTCTCCGAAGGAGAAGGGGCTGAATTCACAGCCACAGCGAAGGCTCCCGAGAGGGAGAGACTAGATGAGGGGAGAAGCTGACCGCACTGCCGAGGCTGGCGCATTGGAGGTAGTACTACTGCTGAACAGAATTTACCTGTACCTCTCAGCATTGATGTACAGATTTATCCCTCACATCCCGATCCAAACATACTGAGTGTTTGATTTGCTTTCTGGTCTTTTGAGCCATTTGCCTGGAACAGCTATTCTTTTAGCTCTGGGTCGCCTCTCATGAGGAGGTTTTTCTGGTATGCACATGTACCGGTGCAGCCTCAGATTCAATTAGATCCCAGCTTCACACACTCCTGCTCAATGACGGCCTGGAAGGATAACTTGTCTGAAACGGCCTCCTTTTTCCTGTATGACATACATAAAGGCTTCAGTATGTACCGAGTCATAATCGAAAGTTAGTTTCCTCGCCATTCCCCAACCCTCTGTCAAGGGACCTGTCACAAAACTTGTACCTCTTTGTCTATTTACATATGTCTCTTCCTCACTAAACTTTAAATTCCTCAGCATTTACCCCTCTTCCTAACTTGATAAAGGTTGCTTGATTAATGATTTTGATGGAAATGGAATGGATTAGAATAAAAAGGAGTCAGAGAGACTCAAAGACATGTTTGTCTAGCACAGGAACACAAACTAATTCGAATGGTACTGATTGACCAGAGAGAAAGGGGATGGCATAAAAAGGCATTCCAAATACACATTTGATAAGGAAATCACTAGTGCCACTGAGGCCCTGAGAAAGCCTGGAAGCATTTGGCTTTTAGGCAACTGCAAGATAGAAGGAGTCGCTGGGAAAAGGCAGAGTAATATGAAGTCTGAAGTCTGCAGGCAGCTGTCCTATCTTTTACATCACCTGTCCCACATAGACTTAGCGCAGTACGTCCTCACAGCTAAGTTCCACTTTGGGTTTTAAATTTATTTTCAGTAAACACATAAAACAATGGATTTCTTTATGACAGACCCATTCTGTCATTGTGCTTAGTTTAGATACTCCCCACTGTCCGTTTTTTTGCCTCTGACTCATTCCTTCCCACCCTTCCCCTGAAATAGTTCTATGTCTGCTAGGTTCTACACATGAGAGGGAACATGTGATGTTTGTCTTTCTCGAATTATCCTTGTGTGGCCCTGGTTATCGGGCTTTAAATTCACTACATGGACTAGAATTCACAATCCTCCAGCCTCAGCTTCCTAAGTGTTGGGGTTACATAAGTGTGTGCCATCACACCCGAACAATTTACTTTTTAAAAAAATATTTTTAGGGGGGCGGGCTGGAGAGATGGCTCAGTGGTTAAGAGCACTGACTGCTCTTCCAGAGGTCCTGAGGTCAATTACCAGTAACCACATGGGGGCTCACAGCCATCCGTAATGAGATCTGGTGCCCTCTTCTGGTGTGCAGATATACATGGAAGCAGAATGTTGTATACATAATAAATAAATAAAGTCCTAAAAAAAGACAACCATTTGAATGATAGATAGATAGATAGATAGATAGATAGATAGATAGATAGATAGAGAGGATTTATCTGTTTTATGTATAAGGTGCCCTATCTGCATGTACACCCACACTCCAGAAGAGGGCATCAGATTCCATTTAGATGATTGTGAGCCACCACGTGGTTGCTGGGAATTGAATTCAGGACCTCTGGAAGAGCAGTCAGTGCTCTTTACCACTGAGCCATCTGTCCAGCCCCAGACAATTTACTTTTGAAATTGTTTGTAAAATCATTTGAAAATACCTTTGTGCCTTTGTTGCTTCTAAAATTATTTTAAAATAGAGGCATATGCCTTTGTTGTTTGTAAAACAAACTCCTCAGACTAGAGGAAATGGACTTTGGGTGGAACACTGAGAGCCGCCACCCTGAGTCAGTCATGGGTTTAGGGACCTTGAGCATCAGTCAGTGGAGCCATGCTTGTGACAACTCCTGAAAACCTTTCCTCTCCCACAGCAAAGGTTGCGAATCAGGAATGAACAAAGCTGGCCTATAATATGGCTGCAGCTCCGGTGGTCCTGGTTATTATGTGGTACACATGGAAACAGACTTACTTGTTCCCTTTACAGAGGCCAAAGAAGACCAGACAGACTTTGACCAAGTGCTGACATGGAGCAGGTGTCATCAACAAGCAAAACGGTGCACATTAGTGTGACAAACGGATATGATTTGGTAAATTGATTCTTGGAAACCCACAGAGTCTCTATATAGGAGTATGTGGGGGGGAAGATTGACATTTTGCATCATTTTTCTCCATCTAAGCATAGTGATCTTCACCCCATTGTTCCTTTATACTCAGCAAGTCATAATGTTGCATCCCTAAACTACCTAGCCTTTTGAATGCTAAATTTAACAGGGTTGAACAAATCTGTCTTAGTTAGGGTTTCTATTGCTCTGAAGAGACCCTATGACTATAAAGGAAAACATTTCATTGGGGCTGGCTTACAGTTCAGAGATTTAGTCCATTGTCATCACGGTGAGAAGTATGATGGCATGCAGGCAGACAGGGTGCTGGAGAAGGAGCTGAGAGTTCTAAATCCAGTTCCTAAGGCAACAGGAAGAGAAAGATACTGGGCCTGGCTTGAGCTTCTGAAACCACAAAGCCTGCCCCCAGGGACACATTTCCTCCAACAAGGCCACACCTCCTAATAGTGACACTCCCTATGAATTTATGGTGGCCATTTTCATTAAAACCATCACAAAGTCATTTCTGTTATGCTAAGTAATTTCCTTCCCCTACTCCCTTTCTTCTGAGACAATTTCCCTATGTTAGTCTGGCCTCAAATTCACAGCAATCCTCCAGTCTCAACCTCCTAGATGCTGAAATTACAGCACGAACTGCCACATCTGGCTTATAATTTCTTTTTTTCCTTTTCTCCTGAGAAGGTTCAAAACTTCCTGAATTCTCTCAATGATTAATTTCATTTTAGGATTTCAAATAATAGACCTGCAATAACTACTAAAAATTAGGTTAATAATGAAATGGGAAAATATTCACTGCCCTGAAGTTTACAGAGCTATTCTTTAAAAGGGCATAGCAAGCCAGGGGGTGGTGGCACACACCTTTTATCCCAGCACTCAGGAGGCAGAGACAGGAGGATCTCTGTGAGTTCGAGGCCAGCCTGGTCTACAGTGTGAGTTCCAGGACAGCCAGGGCTACACAGAGAGACCCTGTCTCAAAAAACAAACAACAGCAAAAGGGCATAGTTAATGAGCTCTGTTTAATAACGTGTATGTTAAAATGTACACATGCACACATATTCTTATTGAAACATGAAAATGCATTCTGAAATGTTAATAATGCCTGCACATTAGAATAAAGCCACAGGAAATTTATTTCCCTGTGTAATTTTTCTCACTTTTTAAAGTTGTCTGGTAGTATAGTTTTATAATCAGATAATACAAGAAGTGTTATCTTTTTAAACTTTAACATAAATGACAAGTAGAATGTTGCATTTACCTAGAACTACATTTGTTTAATGATTTTCTACTTGTCCCATTTGTATTTGTGGTGTAGCTTGTTAGAGAAAAAAACAAAATGACGTTTAGTTCAGGTCAAGATAGGTTGCTAGATATGTAGGAAAACCATGTCTTTGAAACTGTGACATGATGTTTCTGCCCACAGAAAGGCTTTAAAGGAGACACCCCAGTTACTTTTGTTCGTGCAGAATTCAATCAGACAGTTCTCGGAGACTCTCCAAAAATCACTGTCTCTCCAGAAGGAACTGCAAAGTACAACTTTACTAGCAGCTTTGAGCTCAATCCGGATGGAGGGATTACATTGGATGACCTCGCCCACAAACCGTTATTCTGTAAGTCTCATGGTTCAAGGGCATCGTGAGGAGATTCTAAGTACTCGGCTGCTCCTTACACTGCATATAGGATGACCCGCTGCTTCCCCAAATCCCAAACCATGACATGCTAATTTTGTCATTTTTTCTTTCTTTTTTCTTTTTTCTTTTTAAAGCTTTATTTATTATGTATATAGTGTTCGGCCTGCATGCAGAAGAGGGCACCAGATCTCATAGTGTTTGGTTGCAAGCCACCATGTGGTTGCTGGGAATTGAACTCAGGACCCCTGGAGGAGCAGCCAGTGCTCTTAACCTCTGAGCCATCTCTCCAGCCCTTGTCAGTTTTTTCATACTTTGTCTTCTAGAAGTTTCCTTTCTTTTCCAATATTTATGGTTGCTAGGTTTTAGGGGAAAATGATTTTTAAAAACCCCACAGAACTTGTTACATACTTTAAAACTGCTCATTGTTTATTTGGGATTTAAGCCTAACTGGGTATCCTGTGCTACCTGTGCTTTTGTAGCTGCACCATCCTGAGTGGCCATTTTTCAGATCCCCTGAAACTGGAGTTACAGACATTTGTGAGCTGCTGTGTGGGTGCTGGAAACTAGAAAGAGCAGCCAGTGCTCTTAACCACTGAGCCATCTCTCCAGCCCCTATGAGTGGCCATTTTTCATTTGTTTCTTGTGCTAAAGGATGCTCTTCTTAAAATCAGGGCTGGATTTGGTTTATTTCAGAATTTCTGATTCCTAGAAGTATCTGTAGTATAATAGATGCTCAAAGAATCTTTGTGGAGTGAATTAGATGGAAGGTGGATGGTTTCTGTATCTCTGTCTTTATGGTTTCCATGTACACATTCTGTATTACTTTATCTCTGATGTAACTTGTTACATTTGTGTGCTAACTCTTTTACTTTGTTTTGTTTTATTCTGTATTCTTTCTTTCTCCCCCCCCTCTCTGTGTGTGTGATGTGTGTTCAAGTGAGTTGTGTGTTCATGTATTTTGGTGTGCATGCCTGTACATGTTGATATGTGCAGAGGCCAGAGATCAATATCAGGCATCTTCCTCTATTACTGTTTGCCTTGATTTTTGAGGTAGGATCTCTCCCTGGCTAGCCTATTAGCTCCAGGAATCTACCTACCTCAAGATTCCCCACCCCACCATTACTGTAACCCAGTGTCTTAGTCAGTGTTCTATTGCTGTGAAGAGACACTATGGCCATGGCAACTCATAAAAGAAAGTATTTAACTAGAGCTTGCTTGCATTCAGAGTTTAGTCCATTATCTCATGATGGGAAATATGGCCACCTGCAGGCAGAGATGGTACTGGAGAGGTAGCTGAGAGTTTTACATTCAGATCAACAGGCAGCATGAAGTGAGACACTGGACCTGAGCATTTGAAACCCCCAAAACCCACCTCTAGTGATACACTTCTTCCAACAAGGCCACAGCCACTCCAACAAGGGCACACCTCCTAGTGCCACCTTAAACATTGAAATGTAAGAGCCTATGGGGGCTATTCCTATTCAACCCACAACACCTAGGGTTACATATACTTGCCATAGGCTCCCAAATTTTGTATGGGGCTTTAAAGCCAGGTTCTCATTGACATGTGTTTTAGTCTGTTGTCTTTATATTAATCAGAAGTCTCTAGAGCAGAGGTTTTCAACTCGTGAGTCGTGACAAAGGGGTTGCATATCAAATATTTACATTATGATTCATAACAGTAGCAAAATTACAGATATGAAGTAGTAACAAAATAATTTTATGGTTGGGGGTCACCCCATGTCAGAACTCATTTTCTTTCTTTCTTTTTTTTTTTTTGGATATATTTTATTTATTTATTTATTTATTTATTTATTAGTTCTAGTTAGGGAACAAGCTTGTTTCACATGTAAGTCCCTTCTCCCTCCCCTCACCCCCATCCCTCCTCCCCCACCCCC